TTGAGAAACAACAGCCCACACTATTTTCTGCTGCCTTTAACTCCAAAAGCTGTATCATTGACTTATCTGGGCTTCTTGGCTTCCTTCGGGCCAGATAAGTGTAAGCACTTTTCATTTCCTGGCTTAAAAAGTATCTTTTTTTCTTCATATCTAAAAATGCCAACCTAGCAGCAGGCTTGGCATGGCAGAGAGAAAGAATGGGTTCAATGGAAAAAGAAAATGTTTGTGTCTGCATAGCTCTCCAGAGCACTGGGAAGGTAACAAAGAAAAGAAGTATTTCTTATTACCTTTGAGCCCCTTTATCATCCCAAAGGTGAACTTCTCTCCCTGAGCCCCAGAAGTTTTGGGTAGATTGAAAACAAAGGTTTAACACAGAGAAAAACCAAGGCAATGGCGTCTGAAGTTTCAAGAACTCTTACAGTGGCACTGAACGAAATTATTGCAAATGAGACCAGACTTCTGTGCAAAATTCTAAAACCTTGAATTCAACACAAATGTTTTCTCTGACAGTGTTTTCCCTAATTCATATACGAGAAAAATCATGTTTTTACCAGGAAAGAAGTGTGGGGAAATCTAGTCAACCTATGGCTAAACCTATTTCAGAATACTGCCACGCAGCTCTGAAAAGAGCTGACACTCATTTTCCTCTGTTCTGAAAAGTAATTAATCATCTGCTTTTCCAAATGACACTCATAATAATATGCAGTATTCTTTGTTCATCTCAAATCACTTGTAATTAAGGAAGAATTTCTTATGCTTTCCCAAATACAGAGGGGCAACTAAAACCATCATGGAAAAAAAATCAGCAAAAGGCTATTCTGTAAAGTCTCCAAAAGGAAGCTCTTGGGATGGGAGAACAGCCTTCTAAATCGGCCTAAACTTCAGGACAGACCATCTGCTGCAGAACTGAGCTAACATTTAATTGCCTCTGAAATTGGATGACCCACATTCTTAATTCCAAAGTTTATCTAAGAGATTAAAAAAGATCCCAGAATGATTCCACGCACTGAAGAACCAGCAAAGACAGGCTGTGCTTTCTTCCCACAGCACTATTCTCAACGCCAGGTTTGGTAACATGTTAGGAAGGAATGTGACTCCACGCAGCACCACCTGAACTGAAGCTCCAGATGCAGCTGTAAGATGGAAGAAATAATTGAAGTTACTCCCTCGGGTACCAGGGAACCTTCAGCCACAACACCCACCTGAACTGTGCCTTGATCACTGCTACAGAGGAGCCACCAGGGAGGACAATGCTGAGGAGCAGCTTGTTTTGCTGCTCTTTAAGAAATTAAAAACCCCTGGACAAATTAGGACGAAAAAAAAAAAAAAGGAATAAATTAAAGACAAGAGAAAGCAAGGAAAAGCTGAAAAATGCCTCCTTCAACTTAGAACTAACCAGTGTGCACTGCTTCACTTTCTTCCACTTTCAGTGGAAGAAAACCAGCTGCTGCTAGAGACAGCAGTGCCTGGAGGCGGGTTGCTTGTAAGCACTGCTGGCTGTGGGATCATACAGAAAATATAATCCTCAGTTCCCTTCTGGCCCTCAGAAATTTCCCCTGTGCCTCCATCCTGACAGGCCATTTGCAGGGCAGAAATTTTAAATATTCCTATTTCTGACAAATAAGGATAGTGGCACTGTGTTACTCGTGTCCATCCTCAAGTAACAACTGCTGTAAATCCAGAACCTGATGCATAATGTGGCTCACACAAAAACAGACTACATTCAGGTTCTTCATTCACTTAAAAACCACAGCAGTATGTGTACCATTTATAGCTGTCCTTCAGTACATGGAAGCCAGGACACAGTACACTTAATTTGCTGGAGAGATACTCCAACTCCTTAACACATGGAAGCCCTTTTAATAAAGCAGAGACATAATCAATTCAAAACCTACCCCAACATCTCAACTTCTACCAGGCAGAATTTTGAGAAGCTGTAAGTCCTTCAGAAGTCAGTAATTACTTGGGAATTATTACAAAGTTGCACACATCTGTGATAGGGAAGTGACAGTTTTGCAATTGTCTGTCCCATAAACCAACAACACAGTTACCAAGGTGCCACAACTGCCACTGACGTTGCATGGGAGAGCTGAGATACAGGCAAAAGGCACAGAAGGACACCGTGCACTACTTCCAGTGGCCTGTGCACTGCTAGACCTTCACCTCAGCTCCCTTTTGAAGGTTACAAGTGAGAATGCAGCTGCCTAACGTTGGTTGCGTGGTAAAAACCGGACTGCAGAACTGCATAAGCACAAATAACACCTGGAGATTATTTAAAAAATCACAAAGGTTAATAGGTACACAGTTAGGTATGTGGGCCCGTAGCTTTGCAAACTGAGCAAATTAAATAATCTTTATGCATTTTTTAAGCTGTCAATTATGAAAACAGTGACTGGAGGCATGCAAATTGCTGTGATTCTAAACAAAAGCCTATCCCATTCGGTACAATGAATTCAGGATAATCTGCAAAAAGTCATGGAACCAAATAACCAAGGCAGATGACAACTGTACAAATCTTATCCTAATAGCAAATATGATTGAGTTTTAATTGCGGGCTGGAAGTTACCAGGCTACAGACTAAGTGCATCACAAAACCAGAAGTAGAGCTAGCTCCATACAGAAAAAGAGGCCTGGTATGACGATCCATCTGACTTGCTATAGATACTCCACATCAAGGACTAACTTCAGTTGGAAGCAATTTAGCCTCACCATGCAGTAGAAGCCAAATAAGGCACTCTACTGCAGAGCTGGCTCCACATAAAGCTTCAGCAATTCTGCACAGCAAGCATTAGAACACATTGCCCAGAGAAGTGGTGGATGTCCCATCCCCAGAAGTATTCAAGGTTAGACTGGATGGGGCTCTGAGCAACCTGATCAAGCTGTAAATGTCCCTGTGCACCACAGGGGAGTTGAAGTAGGTGATGACCTTTAAAGAGCCCATCCAACTCAAACTATTCTATGATTCTACAAACCAGGAACATCAAGAAGCACGGATCTGAGTCCAACGCAGCTATGAAGCCTAGCTGATCACGGCACTGCCAAACCCAAACACATCTTCTTGGATGCATCTACACAAGCTCTGGTGCGAGCCCATACCAAACCCATCCAGACAAAAACGTGCAGGTATGTTTACAGATAATAAGAATGCACCCAGACAGTGCCAACATAGCTGGTAGCAGGGCTGAAGAGGTGACCTACGAGAGGCTGAGAACACTTGGGTTGTGCAGTGCGGAGGAGACGAGGCCAAGAGATGGCCTCAATGGTCCCTGCAGCTTCCTGGGGAGAGGAGGTACAGAGGAAGGTGTTGGTCTCTTCTCTCTACAACCAGTGGCAAGACATGTGGGAAGAGCACAAAGCTGCACAAGGGAGGCTCCGACTGGACATTAGGAGAAATTTCTTCTCCAGGAGGCTGGTCAAACACTGGGACAGGCTTCCTAGCAGGGTGGTTGATGTCCCATGCCAGCTGGTGTTCAATAGCATTTGAATAATACCCTCAATGGTATGCTTTAACTTTTGGTTAGCCCGCAAGTGGTTGGGCAGTTGGATGAGATGATCTCTGGGGTGACCTCACTGCTGCCTTCCAGTACGTATTAGTATTATTATAAGTACTGATAAACAAGATGGAAATTGACTTTCTATATGACATGACAGTGATAGGTCAAGGGGGAGCCATTTTACATCAAAAGAAAGGAGATTTAGGTTAGATATGTGGAGAAATTCTTTGCTCAGAGGGTGGTGAGGCACTGATACTGCTGCCCAGAGCTGTGGATGCCCCATTCCTGGAGATGTCCCAGGCCACGGATGGGCCCTGGGCAGCCCAATGTAGTGGGTGCACTCAGCCCATAGAAGGGATTTCCATTGGGAGGTTTTGAGATCCCTTCTAACCCAACTATTCTGTGATTCTGTTATCAATATGGTCTTGTCCAAAGGAACTATTCTATTAATTGACTCCCTGCAAAGCCACCACAGGCTGAGCAAGGCTGCCTTGAGCTGGAGCTCCACACGGCTGATGGCCTGGCAGACGATCCACGAGGCCCAGGCGCACCGCAGGCCGTGCTCCCCGGTTACCTCACAAACCGTTCCTCACTCCCGAGCTCAGGGAGCCGGACAGCCTCTTCCCACGGCTCTCGGATGCTCCCCAGCGCCCTCAGGAGGCACCGGGACTCCCAGGAGTACCACTCCGGGCCGGGCCAGCGGTACCCCGCGGCTGAGTGCTGGGCTCTAACCCGACGCTATCGCCCGAGCGGCCCCAGGCATCCCCTCAGGCCCGCGGGAAAGGCGATAACGGAGCCACGCGCTCCTCGCGCTCCCCCGAGCCGCGGCCCGTTGGGCCTGAAGGGCCGGAGAGGCGACGGGGATGAACGGCAGAGGTCCCGCGTAGCGCAGCCGGGCGCGCTCGACGATCTCTTACCGAGAAGCGGCCCCACAGCCGCACCCGGGAACGCGTCCCGCATCCGACATGGCAGCGGCAGCCCCACGGCTCCACTGCCGCAGCACGACCCGGAAGCAGAACGCGGCTGCGCCGGAAGTGACGTCACCGCCACCCCGAGGGCTGAGGCTGTGCGCGCCAGGGGCGGCTGAGGGGAGGCGGGGACGGTGTTCCTTGGCGCTGTGCCGCGCTTCTGTCATTATTTTCTCTTGGTACAGGCGTTGCGATAGCAGTTATGTGAAATAACTTGTCGCTTTTCGGCCTGAGTGTTAAAGCCACACGGTAGGCTGCGTGTGGAAAACTTCCCGTGTGTGTAGGTCACCGGTTGGGGGTTTCCTCAGGTTTGCTTCTTGGCAGCTTAAACGGGCTTCAGAAGTTGTGGGGTTTTTTAACAGGTCAAAACTTGCTGCGTTTGCTTCAGTGTCACCTTTTGTGATGATTCATGTGGTGATAGAAAACAAAAACACCAAAAGGAACGTGAATATGCCATCACATCAACTTTGTGTGGTATCAAAGCATTTAAGTGTAAATACAGAAAGATGAGAAGAAAAGAGACCTTAAAGGCAACACGTTTGGGAAGCACGCTTTATTTAGAAGAACATTTGAGGATTCCTTTCATTGCAAATCAAAACTGTGTCCTGCAACACTGCTGTAGAACAAGTAATTCCAGGAACAGAAGTAGAAGGTCAAACTTCTTTTAAAATGCCTTTTTGCTGACTTAGTTATTGCAACATAATCTCGTGAAGAGTGCTCAGAATTCTTTCACTGTTTAACCTTTCCCTTAGAAGCAAGTTTACATTTGTTCTGTTGATCTCCCACTTGCCTTACAGTTGGTTTCTGTGGACTATTTGCCTTCTGTGTGTATTTGCAAATAGTAAGTAACCCAAACTGTACGCTCCACTGCAAGTTTCCCAGCAGTCTATAGAAGACCATAAACTTACACATTTCTACACAAAACAATCCCTTTCCATTTCCTCCAAGAGTTGCCAAACTCGATCTGTCCAGTGCTTTAGCAGCTGTGAAGCAAGTGAGATCTACTGATACGTGGGTGGTGAGAAGTTTTTCCAACCAGAATGTGCCGTCTCTCGAGGGCAAAATACAGAAGCACATTCCTCCAGCTCCCAGGATTTAGGCTTTTAGATGAAGTATTGTGATCCTTGCTATGCACTGTGTGACTGCGGATACGGAGCAAAGCTTTGAACATGGCTGAGGGACCAGGGAAAAGTCTCTGTGAAATGATGCCAGCAGGTATTCTTTGTGAGTGACCATATTGGAGCAGAGCACAGAACCAAGAGAGAACGCATTTGGCTTATGATCACATTCTGCCCACTGCCTGGTACAGGAGTGCACAGCTCACCATCAGGCGTGGCATTAAAAAGAAAAAAGCATTTTAGTTCCTTTGCTCATTTACACAAGTACAAAAGCTGCTCGAGGAGCTGCAGGAGATACAGCTGAAGGACACCCATCTTCACTGAAACATAGACAGGTCTGATAGGTCTGTTGGTCCTATATTTGGAAAGGTCATCTTTCACCTTCTCCTCATAACTGGTGGGCATACAAAGGCTGCTGACAACGCATACAAATCAATAATATTGCCATGTCAGATAGACTTTTCTTGTATTACCACCCAGACTCTCCCATGCAGTTTGAGGAACCAAAAAATGATTGTTAAAAACAAGTAGCTTCCCCTCCTTGCCCTGCCCAATTTCCTGTGCTGGATTGAGTAATTACAGTCAGAAAAAGAAACCTCAACTGTCTCATGACTTGTAACAGAAATGGGCACCCCTGGAAAACTACCCTAGGGCCCTACTGGCTGCTGCCAGCCCTGAGTGAGGAGTCTCAAGTCTTTCACAATTGCATTAGTTACATCTCTGCAAAGTGCACTGCATCACTATGCATCACCGATTTACTCAGAAATACTTCATTTGTGGTAGATTATCAAGAGCCAGTCAGCTTCTTTTCTTCACAGCAGAAATAAAAAGGCTAGAGGAAGGACAGCGCACAGTTGCTTTTTACAATCCTCATTTAAATAAATAAGAACAAAGATAGAGAAGCATTTAAAGTTTTTTGTCTTCTCCTAATAATGCCCCTGCTGACAGCAGTCTTCTATTACCCAGAGCATCCAAAATGAGGTGGGATTTCCACAGGCACAAAAATACCAGCCGGCCAAAATCTGAGTGCAAGAGGCCACTTACTTTCCAGTTTTGCAATCATACAAGAAACCAGGGGGCAGGCAGCAGCCCCCTCTGGGGAGCTGATTTGGGATGGGGGCTGAGGCACTGCCAATTTCTCTTCCTTGTGTTGTCTTTGTCGAGTGACTTGTCTGATACAAAAGCTGTGAGCAAAGACAGTTCAGGACAGCTGCTCAGAAATGTTACTTGATTATGGTAGCAGCTCAGCACGTTCCACCAGGCTGTTTAGAAGTCTTACAGCTCTGATACTGGACTTCTCCTGGAAGCTGAGCAGGCAAAGGACCAGGCATGGTACTACCAGAGCTGACATCATGTATAATTTCAGTGTACTTTGCTCACTGCGGACACTCGCTGCATTTCTCTCAGTAAAAGCAGATTGCCTGAGCTGCTCTCAGTGCCCACAGCACAGACAGAAGGTGGTTTTCTCACAGATTTTTACAAGTTTCAGTGCTGCCAGTTGAGAGTGATAGAAGAAATCATAGAATGACAGAGGTTGGAAGAGACATCTGAGTCCATCTGGTCCAACCCCTGTTTCAGAAGGGACACCTCTTGCCCGGCACCACATCCATGTGGCTTATGAAGATCTCCAAGGAGGAGATTCCCTGGGCAACCTGTGCCAGTGCTCCGTCAGCCTCACATTAAAAAGTTCTCCCTAATGTTCAGGGCAAATCTCCTGTGTTCCAGTTTATGCACACTGCCTCTTGTCCTGTCACAAACAGGTGTTCATTCTTCTGTCTTACAGGAAAAATGGAAAGTAATATTCTGGCCCTGTCGTGTCCCTCTGTGCCTTCGTTTGAGAAAAGATGAGGGACTCATTCAGCACCTCAGCCTCTGCAATCAAAACCGACTGACCTAGAACCCAATGGCGTCCTCCTGGTGAATGGTGCCCTCAATCACCGTATCTGTGGTTTGCCTGGAGCACTTGCGGCTCCCTTTCATGCTTTTCAGATTTTGTGATACGTGCTTTTGGAACTTCTTGGTGAGGAAGCAGTAGATGACTGGGTCCAGCACGCAGTTCATACTCAGGAGGCACAAAGTCACCTGGTGAGCATCGTTGAGCTGCTGGCGCAAGCGACAGTTTTCCTTCTTCCATTGCTCCAGAACAGTCAGTGTCCAGGGCAGGTCCACAATGTGATGAGGCACAAAGCTGATGATGAACACAACCAGCACAGTGCAAACCATCCAGAGCGCCCTTTGCTTTACATGAGCGTTCTTCCGCTGCTGCCCTGATTTGGAGAACAGGGTCCTGATAATGATGATGTTCCAAGCTAGGATAAATAGGAAAATGATGTAGAAAAGGGTGCAGATGATGACATGAATGGCAAGAACCGGTGTAACATTGCCAGTAGAGTCATAGCGCTCAAAGCAACGTGTATAATTATTTGAGCCAATTTTCTCCACATTCGTATTATCATCAAAAAGATAATACAAAGCACTGCCCACTGTTATGATCCAGATGGCTGCTGAGAGAAAGATACCCCTTCTCTGGGTGGTAAACTGAGCTGCTCTAATGGGATTCGTCACAGCTTGGTAACGGTTGTATGTAATGACCATCAGGAAGGCAACAGAAGCGTAGGTGTTCACGAAAAAGAAACAGCCAGCCACATTACAGAGGAACTTGGGCATGATCCAGTCCCCGTGGTGGTGATAGTAAACAATCCACAGTGGCATTGTAACCAGGAAGAGCAGGTCAGCTACTGTCAGGTTCAGCATAAATATCTTGATTTCATTGAGCTTCTTGGTGGAGTAAATACGGCTGAAAATCCAGAGCACGTAGCAGTTGGCGACAAAGCCCAGAATGAAAATGATGCTGTAGAAAACAGTGAAGAGGCTGTAGCGAAACTCAGAGTCTATTGGGCACACATTGCCTGCAGCATCATTTTTGCCCTCTCCAGACATCGTGTTGTTGAGTGGATACGTGTGAACCACGATTTCCTGCTGTAGCTTTTCTTCTTGCCTGAAAATAAGAAGCATAAAATGAGCTGATTGGTGTTGTGCCACTGCTAAGCCAAAGCCCAGCTTTCAACTTCGGCTGTCTGGAACCACAGGTGTTTTGCCTTTGCCCTCGTTCAAGGCTCAGGCACCTGCTCTGCCCCCTTGGGTCCTGCCATCTATCCCATTTCCACACCATACTTTCCTCTGGGTCTTCATCCAGTGTTTTTTTCTACAATGCTGATCTCAGATCACCCATCTCAAAAGACTTCTGCATGAAGGTTCATATAACAGGTATAACCTCTCTTACTCTCCTCCCAGCTACACAGACTGAGCTTCTTCATCTTTTACTACGGGCATACAGGGTTTTCTTGATTCTTAACTGCAGTTCTCTTTCTTTAAAGCCTGCCTGTTTTTGGCTGTGCCCTCATTCTGAATTCAGGCTTTTCTCAAATCGGTTTGGCTCTTTTTTTTCCACCTATCATTCCTGCATCAAATGCAATTGGAGCAGCAGCAGTTCTGTGTTTTCTGCCACCAGTCACAATGCCTGAATTTCTTGTGCAAAGTACAAGGGCAAAGCCAAGTGCTGCGCATTGCAGTGTGCTTGCTGTGCTCTGCCAGCCCCATGGACACCAAGAGTTTCACAGCAAGCTTCCTCCTGGGCAAGCACCTTCTGCCTCAAAACTGCATCTTCCCTAGCAGCAGGGGCACGAAACCCTCTCTGAGACACTTTTGTGCCCACATGGTGTTGGTTCCTCATTTGTGGCACTGCAGTTTTCCTCTCCAAATAGAGAAGTCATGTTTACCTCAGGAAAACTGCCCCTTTCCTCAGAACACTCTGCAAACACCTTTGTATTTCTTTGTACTTCCCAGCTGGGAGAAGAGGAAGGCAGCAGTCACCTTCCCCAGCCTGTCCATCCTTACTCCTTACAGGTGCCTTATGGACATGACAACTCTGGATGCCCATGACCTGCCCTGGGTCCTTCCCATTGCTGCTGGCTGCTCTGCTCCCTGTTCTGATTTATGCAAGGCTCAAGGCAAGTCCTGTGTTGTCTCATGGCTCCATTTCTGCACCCTTATTTATAGATGAAAATTGCTCTCTCGCTCAATGGGAACCCACCCCAGGTAAAGACATGAGACAACTGGGAGGGCTGGCATCCCTGGTCAGGGGGCAGCAGGCACAGACACTTCAGGCAAGGGGTGAAGAGAGACTCATGGGGACCTCTGTGCTCGATATGCACTCTTCTAATGGCAGAATAAGAAGTAAAATGAAGTCTTAATTACCGAAGATCATTAGAGACCTCATGGTTGCTTCAAATCTGTATCTTAAACTCACTGTTCTGACTGGCTGCCACCTTCAGCAAATAGTTCTGCTATTTGGGGCTGGGATCTTTGACGTAACCCACAAAGTCAATTTGGGCTCTGCCGCAGTGAAATCCCTCCACCCCTGCATGTCTGCTGCTGCACACTGGGGCTCTATGAACTTCCCTGCTGTCTTTTTCCAGACCTGCCCCCAGCTGCTGGATTGAGCAGACAGGTGCTAAGGAAGTTAAAGCTGTGCATCCCCCACCTGCAAAGCCCTGCACCCAAGACAGGTTTGGGCTGAAGGGGCTGCACTCTGACTGGAGAGACGAATGCAAGGATGTGCTCTTTGTTATCTGTGCTCTGGCAAAGGAGCAGGATGGGCAGCAGGAGAGGACAATGCCTTCTACAGCTCTGGCAGGGCTTGGTCAAACTCATCTACCTTGGCAGTAGTTGGCTGTGCAGAGCCAATGCTGAGGTCCTCCAGGGAATCTCAAGAGAGTTTTTGCCTTCTTGTTTGCCAACTCAGATGTTCCACATCATGTAACTAGTTGAGAGCATGGCACCACTCCCCTCCAAACTTATTCAACACCAATTTTACTCTTCAGCCACAGCAACCATATGGTCATCCCACTCAGTCTCTCCTCTAGAGGCAGTTCCCCTTTATATAAAACACAAACGTTCTCTGTGCCAGCACAAGGGAAAAGTGGTGGTCGAGTCCAGGCTGGCAACTGTGGGTCCCATTCCCAGTTGCACCAGGCTGCACTGTGTTACCACATCCCTGGTAGCTGTAGCCCAAAGCCACTGCCCAGTGCACTTGTGCACCAGCTGTTAATCCCCAGAACTTCCTATCCTCAGGTCTACCGTGTGCAGAACTAGAGGTGAAGTCACCAGCTGCACAGAAGTGCGGCTGGGATAAACACAGACCCTGGTCCCAGTCTCTCCAATGGGCCATGCTCTCCCAGTAAGGATTCGCTGGCTGATGGCTACGACATCAGAAAAACATCTTTCAGCAGGAATAGCATCAAGAAAATCGCTTTTGTGCCTTACCACAAAGGGATTCAGTGCAATATGTCCATCTTCAGCTCTAATGGAGATCTTACTGAGGGTGCTCAATCCTCTTCTCAGTGTTACATTCTCCGACCACGGTCTGAAAGGTCTCCCCGAGGGCAGCTCTCAAGGAGAGGACACCAGAATGGGAGCAACTGCAGCATGAGTGCAGAGTCACTAGAGAAGAGGAAATGTGTGACATCAGCTCAAAGGAAATGAGAAATAAAATAGCCTTGTAGAGGAAAGCAATCAACCGCAGCAAAGATCTGGAAAGTCCTTAGAGCTGTTTCCTCAAAACATCTTCTGATTATCCCAAAAGAAGGCAGAGTTGGAATTTTCCTTTAAATGCAGAACAGGAATCCACTCTTTGTCCCTGGGATCAGATAGCATTTGAATATCTTTCTTCTAAATAGATGAATGGCAGAAGCCAGAAGAGTTTTGACCCAATAACTCAAAGAAAAGAAAGTGCCAGGAGACTCATATACCTCACAGACAGACTCATTCTCTAGCAGAGTCTCCTTCACATTTGTGTTCGGTGCAAACAGACCCAGGAATATTGCCATGCCACATCTCCTTTCATCTCAGGGGCCTTCAGCAGGCACTGGGACACAGCAGCATGTCAGATCTTCTCCTAGATCACTGGCCATCACGTTCTGACCGCCGCGACTGGGGCAGCCTGAGGAGCACTCATCACAGGGATGCAAATTGATGCGGTGCTCAGGAGGATGCCAGTGATAAGCAAAGCTGCAGGTACTGCCCCAGCTAGGCCAGCATGTTCCAAATGCAGCTCCCATGCTGGGGGCTACTCTGCCCTCCATGCGTGAGGCACCAGCAGTGCTGTGAAGGCAAACCAAAGACCCCGATCCTCTTCAGAACGGCCAGAGCCCCATTTGTGCCCTGCCTGTGACAGCGATTCTGGGAACTTAAATTAAAAACAAATTAAAAGCACTCCAGGGAGGCTGGCTGGCAACTGGGCTGTGGCTTTGGACAGAGCAGGCGGTGAGGATATCTTGTCACAGGGGGAAGGGGACCATTAGCACAGGCTGCAAAGCTGCAAAACAAAGTGTGCCGTCCTGCGCAGCCAAGTTCTTAGAGGAAATGAAAGCCCAAGAGGTCTGGGGCTGGGGAGGAGTTCTGGTCAGAAATCACACCCTGCTCTTCTGGGACTGCGCCGCTGCTGTTTCTGAGTGTGTGACATGGAATCCAGCCTTTGAATGCATGGTGCTTTCAGGAGCCCAACTTACAGAGCAGCCCGGCTCTTCCAGCCCTGGGGAAGCACACAGAGTCTGCCTGCACTGAATGCCATCTTGAACATGCCTTTAGTTTTATTAAAAAAAAAAAAAAGCAATCTAATTATTTATTTTTTTTTACTATAATTGATTCCCATGTGGTGCTGATAGCATTACTGATACTTTTGCTTGCTGTATCCAGGACACTGGATGCTGGAGTAGCTCTTCCAATTGATGCTTTTCGGGGCCAACATCTGGCTGGAATGCAGTGGGACGCTCCCCTGGTTCCTGGCACCACATCAGTACTTTCAGTACTTGCTCCTACCATGCACAGAGGTGGGTGCTGCCTCCTTGTATGCACTGGCAGTTTTTCTTAAGCTCATCCCCTTGAGACACAGCCTGTTAGCAGAATACCCATTTTTTATGACCACAGCTTAGTTTTGCAGGCACGATGGTTTAGAAAATATGATCTCATTAGCAAATCCCTGGAGATCATTTCATTAGTGGAGAAAAACTCAGCATGGACTGCAAGCAGAGCAGCAGCAGTTAGCAGGTGGGCTCTGCACACATTCTCAACTGCTCTGTTCAGTGACAAAGGCAGCAAATAGAAACAACATGAAGTGCCAGTGCTGAAGCTGCCAGCAGGACAAGAGCAGTGCGGTGCTGTGTGCAGGGCAGGAATACAGGTGAGCGTGAGCCCTGCTGCTCCCAGGCAATGGGTGAGCTCTACAGATGTGCACAAGCCAGGCAGACTCTAGATGGCTTTGTTACCCAGACCCATCAGCATCAGGGTTTGAACATTGCAGCTCAGGGCTGCTCTGAATGGAAGCTTTGCCTCTGCACCCCTTTGGGCAGGAAATCCCCATCACTGATACTGAGTGCAGGGCTCTCCAGCACGACGGCTGCAGTGAGAGCTGTGCTCTGCCCAGAAGCCGTGTTGGTGCCCCCTTACAGCGATGGCATTAAAACAGCCCCCAGACAAACAGCAATGGACTGCACTGCCACCGCCGCATCACCACGATTCCACTTCTGTTCTGTGGTTGTGAGCTCTCAGCAGGGCACAGGGCAGTGAACTCGGGGCACAAACACACACGTCTGCTGGGGGCAGCCAGGCAGAGAGGGACAGGGCAGCCTCAGGCCAGAGACCTCCTGGGGATGCGCAGCCAGCCTGCATCCCACCGCCACAACACAGAGCAGAAAGAGCTGATGAGTTCGGGAGGGAGGTGAGCAGAAGGGATGGGATGCCCTTACCTTGGGGCTATCCAGCCCAGCAGACGCTGGTCCTCCGTGAGCAGCAGCAGCGTGCCAGGCCTGGAGGAGCTCTGTCAGGAGGAGCAGGGACGGGAAAGAAGGCGCTGGTCCACAGGTGGGTGACTCACTTCCCTCTTGGCACTTGCAACACGGCTCCGACGTGCCCCAGCCACACCCTGGTGCAAACCACGGATCTCACAGGGAAATGGCTGTGCAGGACAGAGGCTCGCTACTCTCTGGCATCATCCTGTGCCCTGGGATGGGGCAGCCCCACCTGCAGCAGCTCCACACCAGGGGTCCGGGCTCAGCATCCTCTGGGCTTCTCATTCCCTTCCAAGCATTGGTGGCAGCCAGCACAGCACTCCGTGCTTGTTCCAACATCTCAGCAGCAGCTGACTTCAGTGAGGCACTGTGTCAGTATGAGGCTGCTCAGTGTAGGAGTCCCAGAGGGCGATGGGGAAACACCGGCCAGAAAAACACCCCAGGCTGTGGCTGCAAGTTCCCTTGCCCCCATGGCAGCTCCTTTCCCACCGCTTAGGGAAGAAAGGATGGATGGAGCTCCCTTTCTTTGGAGCCCGCTCACTCTCTGGTTTGCTGCCATAGCCCCAGGGCAATGGCCAGGTTCCACCTAGGGTTTCCCCAATTGTGCATCCATATTGCACAGACTACAGGCATAACACCAGTTTGAGTCACTCATGCTGTAATGAGATTCCACATTTCCTTCTGCTGCCGGCATTCACCGCAGGCTGTTTAACACGGAAATGCTGCTGGGTTTTCTCTCTCTTAACAAGAGCCAGCACTGGTTTCTGCAAGGAAGGAGGCATGAGGATTCTGAGAGCTGGGACAGCCCCAAAGGGCTGAACAACCACTGCAGGTAGGTGCACAGAAGTATGTTGAAAGTGCATCATATCCAACCTGGGCTGTTACCAAATGGAACAGACACAGCCTGTAGTCACACAGGTCCCCATCTAAGTCTGCTGGACACCCAGCTGCTCTGCTCGAATTGTGCTGGGCCATGTGCCAGCATGATTTTCCCTTACCGCTCCTCGTCATCAAAATACCCTCACATAAACTCCATTCCACCCAGGTCAACGTGGCAAAGCGCCCAGACGGGGTGTGCCTGCAGCTGAAAAGGATGCACCAGATAAGATGGGTGATAGATAAATCCCATCCGTTATTTTCAATTTACATCCTTGCTTGCTTTGGTGAGAACAAAAGGCAAAAGCAAGTGACTCTGCACCTTAGTTTCATGTTAATATTAATGCTATTTGACAGGTCACCCTTCCGTTCTGGCTTGGAGGAGGGGCCGTGTGGTTTTTTAATACAGATGATTGAAACAAAAATGAATTTTTTGTTAACTGCGAGAAGGATACAAAAGAGAACATGAGGACTTTAGGATGAGAGGTAATGGCCTCAAGTTGCAGCATAAAGGGAACTTCAGGTTGGATATTAGGAACAGCTTTTCCAAGAGAGCAGTGATGCAGTGACACAGGCTGCACAGGGGGTGGTGGGTCACCAGGTGCTCCAGAGCCACAGGGATGTGGCACTGAGGGATGGGGCAGCAGTAGGGGTGGGGATGGACTTTGGGATCTCAGAGGTCTTTTCCAACTTGACTGATTCTGAGTTCTCTGCAGCTGTAGGACATGCAGGTATCTCAGCTGGGGAATCTCAATGAAGCAGGCTGTCAGAGAGGCTGGCAATGTGAAGAGTCCAGTGCAGAGATATGGAAGAGGTCAAGCTACACATCTGCTAGAAATTAAAGACTCAGTTCTCGCAAAGGACGTAGCCATTCTTGCCCAAGGACTCTGGAGCCTTTTTGTGCCCGTTTTGTGCACAAAACCAAGTCCAAGCAGCAAAAGGCATTGCTAAAACCGCAGGAGCTGCCAGCTGCCAGAGGAGCACAGCATGCAGCTCAGCCCCCAGCACAGCCACGCATGCTGTCAGGCCCTGGGCAGCACGTTGGTACACGAGATAAGAGGCAATGCCTGCATCCCATGGCCGTGTGAATCGCAGCTGCCCGAGCAGAGGAGTCCTTGTTTGCTTCTATCTCCATTTGTAAGAAGAAAAGGAAGCCAAGACAGCCTATGTGTTCTAGATAACAGCACTGCAACAGCCAAATTCTTTGTGAAGGAAACTTGCTACGCTAAAGCCCAACCTCTCACAGTTTAAGATGTTTTGAGAGAGCACAGTCCAGCACAAAAACCTCCTATTTGGAGGAAGAGGACCTGCCCTCGATCTCTGCTACCTGGGTCCTTCTATCCAGCATTGCCATACCTATAGGCAATACCCCAGAGCTACAGTTATGCTCCTGAAATAGGCAGGGTAGGAAAAAGAGGGGTTCTCCATGCATTTGCAAGGATAGGCATCTCTTAGGGAACAGGAAGGCCAGAAGATACAGCAGCATACACAGCATAGGCAAGGTGGTGCTGGACCCAAGCCACCTGACTGCACACCATGTCTAGCAGGAGCTAGGATGATAAGCAGAAGAAAGCATCTCCACCAGCATCTGCCAATCTGTGGCAGAGACCTTTTCAGCTAGCAAGAAACATATTTTTGTCTTTTCAACCAATTTCTTGTTCATTTCCCTCCATAACCTCTTGTTCATGGGTTTGGGAAGAGAACAGCTTGATGACTTGATTTCCCCCTGTACTCTTTTTGAAGGCTATACGTAAAGCACGTATAAAAAATAGGCATCTGTGTAATCTGTACGGCAGCTCCACAACATGGCTTCACAGCAAGGAGGATTGTTTTACTTCATTCTGTCTCTGCTAATAGAACTCTATTCACTAAGAGGGCTCCTGAGCAGGAGAAGTAAATGAGAGAACACCACTATGTACAACAACCTAAGATAAACGTTGAGTAACACAACGGTTCGTGCCTCTTCAAGAACAGATTTCATCTCTGTCTTATCACTCAGTTTTCTACAGCTGTCATAACTTGATTTGCAAAGGGAAAGGCAGAATTTTTGCCTCAGATGAGAACCAAAACCTTTAGGAACAACATTGGGATTCCTAGAGATCTCCTTACTCCCACTGATGTGTTTTCTGGTTTTAAGTATCAAGGACAAATACTTCAGCCTCCACACAGCACTGACCCAAAAACAGCTCCAAAGATGATGATCTGAGGGTTTTAGGATTTGCATCATCTCTACCTCTTGAAATTGAAGTGTTTCATTCAGTCTGCCCCACAGCCTTGGTGCACACTGCAGAGGCTGAGCAACAGCTCAGGCTGCATCTGTTGTGCACTCACATGGTGCATTATTATCCATCCAAGCAATTCAAACAAGTTTGATTTTACAAAGCCTGAATAAAAGGATCAAGATTCACCTCCCTTCAATACAGCAGGGAAATAGTCAGCAAAGGGCCAGGTATTTTGTTGCTGTTAAAGATCACCAAGCTGATGAGAAGCTTCAAAGGACTTGGCTGAGTAGATAAGGTAGGAGACGAACTGCATATTTGGACATATAAGCATACAGGTGGAACAGGAAGAAAGGAAACCGGAGCAGCTAAATTGAAAGTGAACAACCTTATTTCTAAGACATTTCTATTTCTAAGACACGTTTTGCTGCACAGCAAGGCACACTCAGTGGAACAAATGACTCAAAGGAGCTCAAGGCTGCACTCCTCAGTGTCAGTGCTACATCGCTCCATCGGTCACACTCATAAACAGATGCATTTCTGAGAAAGAGAATCAGGAACTTCACATAAGAAAAATCTCAAGCTCTAATGGGACTCATCCTGTGCTACTTGAAAAAAAACACGAAAAGATCTGAAAGGTCAACACCGTGTGTCAGCAAAGATCTTAAACCATGTGAAAGGAAACGCTACCAGCAAGACCAAGACTTCAAAATCAAAAACAGTGACTGGGAGAAAAGTCACTGGGGGAGATCTCTAAGTGAGAAATACTTTAACAGGGGAACCAGAGCCAGCTGAGTGAAAGGAACAGCATCTTCTGGGTGAGAGATTCCAGATGGACCGTCTGCACAATAGAGCTCAAGCCCTCTGAGCTACTGCCCAGCACTGCTCATTTCTTACAGCCTTTGTCTGTGAAGCACAGGAGATGCATCTCAGAAATACCACAAAAGTTAACTAACATTTTCCCCACAACTGAGTCTAATTGCTGCCTCAACAAAGAAGTTGTGTCCCACCAAAGCATTCCCAGTTGATGAAGGAATGAGCAACGCCAATAAAAAGGAATTTCACTGTCTGAACACAGCAACGCTGTACAGTTCAGTCTACCTTAGTTTTATCAGGCAGGTATGTTTCACTACATCTGGTCACACAGACCAGTGTATTACAGGAAAAGAAGAAACAGAAGCAAGTGGAAAACACAAGCCACCTTTCAGCAAATTCATCTAAGCCCCAGGCTGTGTCAGAAAGCACTGCTCGTCTGGGAGCTGCTTCTCCTGCAGAGAACTGAGTGGTAACACTGCTTGATCACATCACCCTTCTGCAGTGTGCAGAAAGAGTTCAATCATCAAAACTTATTGGTTGAGACACTGGAAGATAAAACACCTCTTCAGGGGCAGCGAAAACCATCCTTCTGACTTGACCATGTTCTAGGCACAAAAATCAGCACAGTGGACTGAACTAATGTGAAGATAAGGGTATAAAAGATGAATAGGAGTGAACAGGCTAAAGGCGGCGAGGAGGACGAAGAGCAGTATCTTCATGGGAGCATCTACACACAAGTCCCAGATGTGAGGATTGCCATCAGGACAGAACGGAGGAGTCTCCAAGCTCGGACAACAGAGGAGTCCACCAGGAACACGTGAATCAGTAGAAGAATCCAGGTGGTATGCCTCTGAATAGCTGAGAATCTCTTTGAAACTTAAATGGACACCTGAAGCACAATTTTGAAAAACAAAACTCATGACTTTAATGTGATCCCACAGTTCTGAGAAGTTACACTCCCCCTGCCAGATTCATAAGTCCTCCCACCCCATCTGTGCTCACCACCCAAAGGCATGGCAACAAGACCAGGAATCAGCATGGACCCTGGAACATTCAGAGCCCACTCAGGCAGCATCCAAAGGAAGAGATGTCTTCTTCCAGTCTTCCTTATTGCCACAATGGAGGACTACTAACTCAAAATTCAAGTCACATCAGACTTTGGAATAATTGCAAAACCTTACCAGGGCAAGTGTTACTGAGCAGTAGTAACATCTCAGTGGCCAGCACTCAATTTGCAATTGTATCTTTGAATAATTCCTTGCAAAAAAAAAAAAAGAAAAAAGAAAAAAAAAAGGTAACTTGGGTAAAAATTTATTTTACATACAGACCATTGCAACATAACTATTATTTGAGACGTTATTTTATCTTTACAGAAAGTGACCAGCTGGTCTGAGATTAACAGAAGTGTAAGCTTGAGAGC